CAAGCTACTTGCAGTGAGCGCAACAGTTTCGTTGATGAACTCAACTATGGACATTCTAAATGCTTTGAGTCGGAAAGAAAACTTGTATTAATTACGTATACGATTTCTTTTAAGCTTTTCGCGATCGAATGGCTTTTCTCATTCTCTCTCTATTTCGTGCGATTTATATCTTTGAATCATGCTATTTTTATACTTTTGTAGAATATAAGCTTTACAAATAAATGGTCGAAAATTCAACATTTCTTACATAATAAAACAAACAAAAAACAACTTTCAAGCAAATGTTCATCATAATGGTATATACCAGCTCCACTGTGCAACATTTGCAGCCGATGCATAAATATACGAGTATGTTTTTAACCAGCCATAAAGTTAATTAAACTTACATTTGGCCGCCGTTAATGCTGTACTTTTATAGAGTGGCTACTTTGATATTTAATTTGTTCAATTTCCGTCAATTAATTACAAGCTTCGACCGCCATAAGGGGTGGCATTCAGTGCGCGACCAACTAAATCCGCACAGCATCGCTCTCATAACTAATAACAAACAAAAAGTTTGACAACGTTGACAACTTTGTCGACACGGATGACACCTCCATGACGCAGTTAACTGGGCCGGGCTGGGCTGGCCAGCTGTCTGGCAGATGCCCAACTTTGACACCAGACAAAATATTGGGTACCGAGGCACTTTAAAAGGTACTCGCTCAATAAGTCGCCTGACTTTGAGTGCTTATCGACTTTAATAAATAATACTGAGTGCTGTGCTGTTTGGCTAAGCGTGCAGACTACATAAATAAGAAATAAAAACAAAAACTTTTTAATCAAATAGTGCACAAAAGCAGAACTGGTTGCAGGCAAGGCGGTGGGGTGCAGGGGGGAAGGAAATGGCCACAGGTGCGTGGCAAATGGCGGCGCACGGCATAAATTCTGTTAACAACTGCAGCATAAAGTAGAGCTTAGCAGTCGACTCGGCAACTACAATAACAACGACAACTGCGTGGCCTCATGGTCACGTGGCTAACCGATTCTCGCAATCGGTTCCTCTCGCAGCCCACCCCGTCTCACCCAATTGCTAAGAGCTGGTCAAGAGCTGCATCGCTTTGCAGCTCTTTGGCTTTGAGGCCTGAGCTGAGGCAGCCTGCGACTTGGTTACTGACTTTGTGTCTGGCAATTGGCTCTGTTGCCAGACAGAGCGTCGCGTACCAACAACTTAACTATGTGGCAATACCAGACATAAACAACAGCAATAACAACAACAGCAACAAATGCAACAAGCACTTATACTCTCACATTGGTTTGAATTACCCAACTTTTCAATAAAACAACATTTGCAGCTGCTGCAACAAATTATTCGGGTTTTGAATTTGGTTATGGTCCCATCTAACTTAAGTAGCATTATTTTAAAAGCATTAACCATATGATGTTACAAATAATTGAAAATAAAATATACATGTTTCTATTTACTAGCGGGCAACACACAGTTTTGCCCGAGACAAGCTAGTTTCTTCAAATTGTATCATTGACAATAAGGTTGCAGACGATTGGAGTCTCAGATCTTGACCTTACGCTAACAATATCAACTAAATTTAATAACACTAAACAAATTGCTAGGAGTTGCAGACAATTAATAATCTAAAATAAATAAACAGAATTGCAAGAAACTTGGCCAGTAAGTGGGAGCCACAGAAGTCTCAACAGAAAATCGTTTAGAAACAAGCAAAGTTTCATGCCAGAAGGCGATCGACTAGTTGATACCCTCTTCTAAAGTATCTATCGGTATAATCGTTTTATAAAATTGAAAATAAACTTGACTCGATTTTAACTCTTTAACCTTAGATCTGTCCCTTTGGCAGCAGGCAGGATGTCAGAGCAGGCCGGATCAGACCACTATATCCCTATATCATAGCGTAGGAACTGTCGGTCAAATATTGCATTTATTCATAACTTTTTTGCATTGTTAGCTTACTTTGCTACCAATAATTCTCAAAAAGTTATTGAGGCGCAAAGGTAACAAGGTGTGAAGTAGTCTATTATTGTTAAAGTTGCATCGAGCTTGCAATGCCGCGAAATGTTCTCGCAATTGATTTGATGCGATTTGATTCACATTGAGTTGCTACCAGCTTTTATAGTATTACTCTTGTTGTTGTATTTGTTGTTGTTGTCGCTGTTGATATTGCTGCCGCTGCTGATGTTTCTGTTGATGCTGTACAAACCGCAACCTTGTACACAATATAGACACCATAAACGCAATGCATTTGTCAGAGAGCCTCAAGTTGCACTTTATTTATAGTCTCAATTAATTGTTTTGCTTATGACGAATCCGAAACGCCCGATTCGGCATTTAAATTGAAATTGACAAGGACTTCAGCGATTGGGTTCATACTTCCACGAACGGAAAATGAATGCCCCTATTCCATAAGCTGCATTTAAAGCCAAATTCAAAAATGTAACAATAACGTCTCAATTAAAGCAGTTTTGCCTTGGCCCAGAAGAGAAATAAAAATTGATGAGCAGAGATAGTTATCATTATTATTATATAAATGAATAAAATAAAAAAAAAGTAAAGTCCAAACTCGCTAGCATTACGTAAATTTTGTAAGAATCGCGTAGAAAGGTGCAACAAATGAAAAATCAATTTTTTTTAAATGAGTTTCTGCAAGCATTTAATGCTAATTTATGTATAAGATACATGAATGTTTTAATGAAGTTGTAAAAGGAGAGTTAAAGTAGTTGCTCGCCTTAAGCCCTTACCAGCATTAAGATTAATAGAGCAAAGCGCAGATTATACTAGGTAACAAGGTTAGGCGGTAGCTGTTACGCTGTAGCATAGGGCCATACGATAGTTTTCGTCGATATGTTTTTAGCAAATTAAATTCTTCGAGGTAAGGTCAATATTGTTGAGGTAGTTGGCACAGCACAAGAGATATCTCATAGCCGGAATTTGAAGTGAGCTTGCAGTACAGGTAAGTAGGCTCCTTGGCTGTTCGATTTGACGACTCACTGGCGAATTTGGGAACGGTTTTTAAGCAATTTTTGTTTGACAGTTGCTAGTTTCATTTGTCTGTTTCACTCGTTCCATGCATTCATTTCATTATTAATTTACGAAATGTGTTTTAATTTTGCTCAGTGCTCAGCGTTCAGCTGCTGTACGCGCTAGGCAATCCAGTTTTTCTCTTCATTTTCCTTAACAGTTTACGTTTTTGTTTGTTTTTGTTTTTTTTTTTTTTTTTGGTTTTTTTCTTTGTGTTGCCTTTCACCGAAGAAGAAAACGTGAAAATTTCTTACATTTTATTTGCGCAACATTTTAATTTGCTTGGCATTAATGGCGAGCGGAGTGCAGAGCGGGACGCTCTTGCAGCTACTGCTGCAAAAAGTTGCTGTTGCTGCTGCTGCAGCAGTCAAGTCGTCATCGTCGCCGTCGTGGGCTTTGAAGTTCTGCAGCAGCTATGAAAGGCTACGCAAGCTCGGGTCGGGAGAGAAAACTGACAGGGCTTTGTGTGGGGTTGCTTGGTTGCTTCATTCGTCCATTCGTCCATTCCCATTCCCATTCCCATTCCCATTACCATTCCCCTTTCCATTACATTATTCCCTTTTCCATTCTATCAATTCTGCGCTTACGTTTCGCAGTGTCCATCAGTTGTTTCTTTGCTTGTCTGCCGCTATTGGCAGCTTGGATGCCGTAGGTGAGTTGTCTTGGCCATTATCAGAATAGACAGTCTTCCAATGAACAAAGTTGAGCACCACCAGCAGCAGCAGCAACAGAAGCAACAGCAGCAACGGAAAATTCTTAAGACTTGGCCATCGCAACAGCAACAGCAACAATAATAACAAAAGCAACAACAATCAATTGCTTTCAAATTGTTGCCACCTCTAACACAGATGTTCAAAGGCTTTACATGCTGTGAAATTCTCAAGCCTCGACAGCTGCCCCAGTCAGCAATTTGTTGTTGTGGTCACGACCACATTTTTGTATTTTAACGATCACCTTTTCGCAAACAGCAGCAATGGCAGCTTGAAAACTTTAAACATCAGGCCAGGCACATGACTAAGGACTAGTAGGATAAAACTGCAAAATATCTACTACTAAATGGATGAAGGATATGATATCATAAAAATAGACTCTAAGCTCGTAAAGACATATCGCCTAGAAATGCTTTTATGCAAAAGCTTATTTCTAAACGATTGTTCCAATAGAAGGCATATAACATACACTTCCGATTTGATACGGTTTTGCCAATATGTGAGGCGAATAAAATGACAGATGTGTGTAATTGCTGAGTTCGGTGAAGATATCATACAAAAGTTTTTCATGTCATTTTTTTAAACAATTTTTTCCTATATGAGCGTCAGTTTACGACGGACCTATCTTTAAGACTGAGAGCAATATATATATATATATATATATATATATATAAGATGCAATTAATTATCTTTATTGAAACTTGAATTATTAATATACCCATAATATACCTTATGCTGTTAAGAAAATGATAAAATAAGTTAGTTGTATACCGTTTATCGCTTATAATTTTCGATCGATCGAAACAGCTCTAAATAGAATCAAATTTTGCCATCAAAAGGATACTTTAACAAATAGTTTTATTAGTATATCAGGCGCTGCAATTTGTCTGTAAATGACCGTTTTACACAATTTTCTGCAGAACAAGGTGCATTTAGCAAATTTCAGATGTTAATTAGATAGCGGCTGGTAACAAAAACTTTTGTCTTGGCTGTTGCCTCATTAAAAAATAAAACTGAAATACAATAATTGCATAGAACGCACTAATTAATTTTATCTCTGCAATGGCGTCGTTTTGCCCAACTTTTGTGCCAGGTCGCTGCACTCCCCACAACCCCCACTCGCGCTGCTTGGCCACTTTGCCACAAGGTTGAGCGGAGTGTCGGGCAGAACGCTAATTACCCTAGAAACGCAGCCAGCTTTTCTGCCAATTTGGATGGTGCAACAGAAAATAAAGGGCTACTCTAAAATGACTACTTACCAGTGCACTGTGCTCCTTAACGGGCGTGGCATTTATCACAGGCTGATTGAGATTGTTGTTGTTGCTGTTGGTGTTGGTTTTGGTGGTGCTGCTATTGGCGCTGTCGATGCTGCAACGTCGGCGGCAACCATAATCCGTTTGCTGTTGCTCGTGTGAGATGCCAAAGATGAAGGGACCTGTTCCACTGCCAATACCAGTTCCAGTTCCAGTGCCAGCTGAATTGCCAGCCACAAAATCCACATTGCGACGCGTACAGAAATCATCCTCGAAACGTGAGGCGTGTGACAGCAATTGTGTCTGAGTTTGGTCCAGATAATGCCCAGCATCCTGATAACCAACATTGCCATATCGCGGCGGCGGCGGTGGTGAACCGTTTGCAACCGAACTGGAGCTACAATTCGATTTAGTTGTGGCCGTCGAGCTGGTGGTTGAGATGGCTTTAAAGGACTGCTCTTGCTCGCGCTGTCTATCGAAGCAAAAGTCACTCGATTGCGCTGTCGGCGAAGGCGGACTGCCGTACGGATAACCAATGTGCGGACTCTGCAGATGCTGGTTGTATTGCTGGGAGAGCGCATCGAAGTCGTTAAAGCCGTGCAGCCCCTTGACGCTGTCTCGTTTCTGTTGCTGCACATACGGCGAGACGTAAACGCCGGCGTTGGCGTTGGCGGTGCCTGTCACGTTGATGCTGGCGTTGACATTGCCTGTGCCACTGGCACTGGCACTGGCACTGGCACTGCGCTGCGGTGGCAATGGTGGCGCTGGCAGCGGTATGCCAGCCATCGGTGCTGTTGCTGGCGGCTTCTTTTTGCCACCGACCAGCAGCAGCTGGGGACGACGCTCGCCGAGCAGTGGGCGCTGTGAGTTGTTATAGGGATGATTGCGCTGCATATATGCCGAGCTTAATGACATGTTGTCATCATAATCATCCTCAAGCTCTAGCTCCATTTGATTGCATTCGTAGGCATTACCGTAAATGGTTCTAGCCGCAGGTTGATGATGATCATGATGATCGCAGTATTTAATGATCTTCATATTGGCATTGGGCGGCAATGGGGGCACTGGCTGTTGTAAATTGTGGGCATGGCTATGACCAGGCACAATATTGGGCACATTGCTGGCGCTGTTGCTGTTGGATTTGCTGCTGCTGCCGCTGCCAAACAGTTTGGCCAATTTAACAGTCATATTTGTGTGATGTTTGCTTTGGCCCAAAAAGTTTTTCAATTAAAATGTTGCCCAATGCCAGAAGACAATGACAGTTGGCAAGCTTCTTCGCACAGTTGCTGTTGCAGTCGCAGTTGCCGCTTCAGTTTCCAGTTTTAGTTTGGCGTCCTGTTGAGAGACAGAGAAGGGAATATCAACATTTAACTCGAAATCAAGCGAATTTATGCAAGTCGAAGCACCAATGCACTAACCGATATCAGTTCATATAAGATATGAAATCAAAAGGAAACAGCAATAAATCAAATAAAAGTAACCAAATTTCAACAAATCTCAGCTTCTCAGGCAAGTGATAAGTGTCTACAACCGACGGTGCAAACCTAACAAAGCAATTACAAATTTAAGTAACATTAGTCAATTACCAATTATATGAATTCGAATGAATTCCATTCATATTTCTCATCACGACACCTATTCGCCATTTGTTGGAAACTCTCAAAAATAATAAACAAAACAATAAAATAATGAAAAATAGTCTTCTCGTCTATCTTTTTATAGAAGACATACGACTGTTTCGCGCGTAGCCCAGTCAATGCCCTATCCACAATGTTAACAGCAAATGCAATGTGGTAAACCAACATCTATTTAACTCCTCATTAGATTCAGAAAATTAGCTTAAGTGGGTTCAAAAAAAAAAAAAAAAAAGAAAACCCCCCGATAAGAGGCCACAGCAGCTCAAACAAAACGAAAAACCCGCAAAGAGTCCTAAATAAATCTCAGTTAACTTGGACCCGGTCTGAGGGTGGTAATCAGAAACCCAGCAGCGATAAAAGTTGCAGCCAACTGGCGCATCTTTGCCGATTCTTTGGGGCAGCTCCTCTTACTGTGACTGCTGGCGAACCGCAACGGAAACTGTAATAGGATATGCATCAGCAAGAACGGCAACTAGTCAGTTAACAGCAATAATGACAGGCAGAAAAATTGCATGTTGAACGGGTTGAAAGCGATTTATAAAACGGTCAATTCGCATTAAGTTTTCCTTATTTTCCTTATTCTATTCAATTATGTTCTCGTTTTTATATTTATTTTCTTTCTTTTTATTGTTGTATTAGCCAGCAAGGTAAACCGCAGACAACAATTTGCCACCAAACATTGACGTCACAATAAAAATATCATGCGATTTATCAACCGCAGCAAAATTAAACTTGATTGACAGGGACCCTTTGCTGCCGAAGGTAAATCAGACGAATTGAAAAGTTATATAATTATAGATGGAAATGTTGTATGTTTACATAACATACAAGCAAGATCTCATGAGTTTTGTCTTGCTCAAAGACATACTAAATGACATTCCGCCGACACTGTCGACTTCCAAATTAAAATATAACAAAAAAAAAAACTGAATAAGTAAAACGCGTCCCGTAAATTACAGCTTGTAACGCCATTCCGCCAGCATGGACTCCAAAAGATTCGTCTCCATGGACAGAAAAAAGAGCACACATCCGCAAAAGCAGCTTTGCAGCTCTGTCTTTGTATGTTACGCAGCTTCTGGTGCTCGTATGAGGCTGCCTTTCATATAGTACTTGGCCCTCTTGTGTTGCTATGGTCCAGTAACCCTTTTACTAGCTTTGCGTGCATCTGGCGGGCTGTTGATTTCATATCATTTTTAATATTGTAGCAAGCGCCGGTCAGACAAACGCCCTCAACTACGACCACGCCCCTGCCCGCTGACGTTGACCGACCAAACGAGATTCGCTCGCATGTGGAGCTCGTCAGACAAATACGCAAACAGCGCCAGAAATAACATGAACAATAACCATAAAAAAAAAAAACACATAACCAAACGCAACACAACACAAATATTAAAAAAGTAAGAGGCTCCAGTCGGGAGTTCCCGACTATAATTTGGTGCTTATAGCTCTTATAACATACGAAAATTTCCCAAAAACAGGATTTTGATATCGATTTTGATCGATTACTTGGAAACGAGGCAAGTTTTCGATTATCGGAAACCAACCCGTATTGCGCAGGTACTAGGGAGTGCTAATGTTCAACATTTCTCTAGCTCTTTTAGGAGCGACAGACATGGCTAGATCGACTCGGCTATTGATGCTAATCAGGAATATATGTTTTTTATGGGGTCGGAAATGCTTCCTTCTGCATATTCACCCATTTTCGATGGGTTCCGACTATACAAAACTATATAACAAAAACGCGCTCGACTAGGGGTCACTGAGGGGTGAGTTGTTGTGTGTTAGCTTTTGTAGTCAATTTTCCAATTATTCTGCTTATTATTAAAACATTTAAGTAGGGTAGGTGTTGCGCCTTTCTGACATCTTCATTCTTTTACACCAAAGGGTAAAAGCGCCATGTCAACCATTTTCTACAGGGTATGGTTAAATTGAGGCAGTGAGAAAAGCGTTCGTTGATTGTGGAGCGGGTTATTTGGTGCTCGACTAAAAAAGGACAGAGTGAATGGAATGATGGGGATGGCACAGAATGCAACAGTTTGTAATTTGCGTCAAGAATTGACGTAGTCGCCGCAGCAGCAAACGAGAAGTTGGTAACGCAAAAAAAAAATTCTGTAGAAAACAAGGCAGCAAAAAATTTGCCACTGGCTTTGACAAACTCGATGGGGTAGGCCACGATGGACAGGAACAGGATGCAGGGAGCGGAGTTGACAGTTCCTAGCATCATAGCATGGTTCGCTTTGTCCTTGACGCTGCCCTTGCCACTGCCACATGTTCAAAGTGCGTCCGTTGCACACAGTATGTGCGTCATTCTGTTTGACGCAAAATGCTAATGAGACAAAAGATGTCAGAGATATGGCAAATGCTTTGACGACATGAAGGCGTCTGTTGCGGAAAGGAAAAAAAAAATCACGTAAGAGTACTCCAGACGAAGTGTACGACTAGGGGATGCCCCCTCTTACAAACATTCGATCTTCCTTCTATTTATATATATATATATATAAATACACCAAAACACATATTTGTACGCATTTGTACACTGCTGCTGTGCTCCTTCCCTTTGACCTAAACTATGGGAAATACATTAATGAATGACTTTGGAGCTTATTGTCCAATCGTCCTGAAAATTTAAGCACTTAAATATGCCACCAAACCTTGTTTATATATGTTACCAGGACGCTAGGTATAAGAAAATTCCTTGAGCTATGCATAAAACTCCGAAAAGCAATAGTCAGCCTGCTCAAAAACACTACTATCAGGAATATATAGCCCATAACCTTTTATACGTTTTCAATACGCCACAGGGTATACAAGGAGCCAGTTAACTTACGAACAAATTGATAGCCCATTTGTCTTTAATTGGCACTCCATTGTTGAAAAAGCGAGTGCAGTTACATTAGCAGGCAACATGGGCGCGCGGGCGTTTTCTAACTATGATGCAAGTCCATTTAGTAACTGGTAACTGCGACAATTAGCCAAAAGGCATTCAGCAAAGACACGGGCTCTAAACTGAAAGCAATATGGATTCATTGTCCTTGGGATGCCGCAGACGGTTGACTATCAATTGCATGATGACATTTGAAATGGGTAAGTAAAATTAAAGAGCTTTTCTACTCGGCTAACAAGGTAAAGATGTGCATATTGTCCGTCTGCCCGTATAAAGAAAACCTTCCCAAAAAAAAAAAAAAAAACAACGAAAACATATGTTCGGTTTGCAGCCCCGGCTACACTTTCATATCATTAAATTGAATTACTTTATACCACAGTTAAAATAACTTTTCTGGCATTTCTTGACCCATCCGAATGGAGTCTGTTGCAATTTTGGAGTTCCACAAAATTGGATCTGAGTGTTTTTCAGCTCATGTAATATACGATGAATGGGAGGTAGGGGCTCAGTTTTTGCTGTTGCTACATTGCGTCTGGCTTTTGCATTTTCTTGCTGTTGCTGACATTGTTTTTGCTGTTGTTGTCGCTGTTGTTGTAGTTTTGTGCGGTACTGCTGGCGACTTCCTGTCACGTCTGCCACATAAAAAATGCTGCAGGCCTCCCATTACAGCAACTGACGACGACTGACAAACAATTTGCAACAAGGCAACGAAAGTTTCGGCAGCTGCATTAAAAAACGACATGAGCCAAACTTTAGCCAAAGCGGCAACAAAGACCGAGAAAGTATGCCGAGCAGCCGGACGAGTCGAGTGGCTTACAAATGACCACAAAGCAATAGCCTGGCGGATGAGGGGCTGCAGGCACGAGGAAGTGGTTGCAGCATGCATCAGCCTACGGCAAAAAAAAAAAAAATATGGACACAAAAAATATGCGTCCAACATGGAATGAAGTTATGTGCAACAGACTGGCACAGAAAGTCAAACAAATGCAAATGACTGTTATTTATCACATTTAAACCGAAATGGCCGATTCAAAATTCGGGGCAAAATACAAAGCGAAACGGTTAAAAGCCGAATGCCAGTATCCTAAAACTGTTTAAGTTGAATCAATTTTTCCCATAGCAAAGGACATACCAATTTTGTCACAAAGTGTGGAATTAGTCCATACATTAAGTATACTTATTTTTTATCAAGGTATAGATTTCGCTGAGTCCAGAAGAAGCAGGTGCATAAAATATATGCGGCTGTCCTCGGTCCCCTCAGTCCCCAGTCTTTACGGCAATAATAACAATAAAATAGTCATCCTTTTTGCTCATTATTGGCAAGGTATTTGTTCTGTACTTTAAGTTCATATTATCGCTTGTAAAATATTTATTTAAAATAAAAATACAATATTAAAATTAATTAGCAAAATTGACAACAACAACAATAATCGAATTTAAGTTATTTTCATATTATTTTGATCAATTCGCTTTTGCAAAACAAACACATATATGCCGCGAAATATTTCATAGACAAATATTACAATTATAAACTGTGCTGCATTATTGGCAATTTTCGATTTCCAATTAAAATAAGAATGCATTTATAAATGGGATACAATTGCAATCTGCATGACGGCCATTTAAATAACAATTAAATATTTGGTTATTGTGGCCGTGCAGCTGATGCAGATGAACACAAATGCAGCACCGGTATCTGTGTTTGGGCAGCAGGTGTAAAATTTAACAAATCAAAAACATACGCATTAAAAATCGCTGCAAAACAAGAAAAATAAACAAACCGACAAAAAGATGTGGCAGACGAAGGAGAAGTA